GTAATCATAATCATATTGTAATCAAATTCTAACCAAATCTAAATGAAATTCTAAAAGAATAATAATCAAATCATAACCAAATTTTAACCAAATTTTAATAAAATTTTAAAGAAATTCTAATAAAATCTTAATTATATCTTAAATTAGCCTTAATTATATCCAATAGCATATTCAAAACTTCAAATTAATAATATAATTATTCATCTTGATTCAAAATTTACAAAACTCTCAAACTTTCAATTAAAAATAAAAACAAGAAATTTAAAGAAGATTAAACTAATCATTTGAAAGAAAAACCTCATAATTTACTTAAATTTCAATCAGCCTCCTTCTCTAATCTTGATGCTAATCTTTCAATGCCAATATCTCTTATTTTTATTGTTTAATTACATTCAAAATTTAAATAATTTTTAAAAATTTAATATACTATTAATGTACCAAATTTAACTTCAATTTAATATTTAAATTATTATAAATTTTAATAATCTTCACTAGTCCTTCAAGTTCTAGTTTTTGACTCTTCAACCTAATTAATTTTCAATAACCTCTAATTAAACCAATTGATCAAGCTCAAACTTACAACACAAATTCTATATAATTATAACTACAAATCTATAAAATCTTATTTATAGATCTATTACAAATCTCACAAAATGCTCCAAAGTATAAATCCTTTCTATTTAACAAAAAGTAGAGTTGTTCCAAAACAATCTTGACTTTGCAAAGTTCTTACAAAGTCATTACAAAATCAAATTATTTAAATTTAATGATAAAAAACCATCTTATTGTCTTCTCTTGAATTCTTTTATTTGTTTACCAAAAACACTTTGGACATGCTATAAGGATGTGATTTTGTACCTTAGAATTTGATTTTCATCTAATTCATAACTAATATTTTTTAGGTATCAACATCAAATTTTTTTAAGTAATTTTTATTAAAAGCTATTATTTACTTCTATTTTAAGATATCTATGATATTAATTTTTCTATTTCATTTTATTTTTGGCTCTAAAAAGTAAGTAGAAACCTATTTTGCAAAAAGCCAACATGAATAATTATTAATTTTATTACCTCTTTAATTATTATCTATATTTATAAGATAATTTGTAATAGTATTTTAAAATAATATCTTCTATAATATAATCTCTTTTTTATTTTTTTTATTTTTTTATCTATTAGTAGTATTAAAATATGATAGCATTACATTTGATTACACTTAAAGAATTTATACTCAACTTCCAAATTTTTAATAAATACTTGAAGTGTCTCAAATAATTATGGTTATTCTATTATAAACAAAGTCATCTTTATAACTTAAGCAATTTTTGATAAGGTTTGTGGCATATTGTCTAATGCTAGTGCTATTACATTTTTTTTAGTGTCTTCAAAGGATGTCTCAATTTTTGCATTTAGTAAATCTTCTTTATTCACTATATGAATTAAATTAAAAATAGTAGCTTCTTTGAAGATTGAAATAGGCCCTATTATTGTCTTCTAATAATGCTCCACTTCTTGCAACTCAAGTGAGTATTCTTTACTTCATTGTCTATAGGTCTAGAGTGCCTCATGCTTCAAATGTTGTAGTAATAGCTCAAAAGCATACTACTCATTAAAAGAATGAAATCTTTGGCATTTTTTTTTCATGCATGTTAAAAATTTGAGCTTTTTATCTACTAAAGAAATTTATTTAGCTCATTTCAACAACCAATCTATCACCATACTACAAAAATTGTCTTCCATCTTATAAAATGTGTCCACACTTGAAATCCAAAGTCTCTTGGTAGTATCCAATGTTAAAACATACTGAAAAATCTTGTCATTATCCACTATTAGTTCAAAGTCCTCGATATGGTTATTATCCAAGTAGTCTTGTGAAGAAAATCAATAAAATTGATTTTTAATATGAACCATAAAAATAATACTTAGATACTTGCAGCTATCTAAAGGCTTAGGAGTAACTTGCACAAACAACTACTACCAATCCTTGTAGTTTATTAGTAATTACTTTTAGATTATTATAAGGTAAAAAAGCCAACAAATAAAAAGATCTTACCAATGATTAATCCAACCTTAACTCTACAATATGCCTACCAATATAAACTAATATAACACAAAATGAAGCAATAATAGAAACATCTAATAACAAAGTTTGCAATTAGGAGAGGGTGCAAAAGACAAAAATTAAAAAGTCCTACTAGATTTTATCCTCAACAATACAAAAGCAAAAATTAGAAGTGAACTAGAGCAACCAATAGTTTTTTAGAATTGATTTTCATAAATTACAAAATATGTGATGATTAAAAAATATTATATAAAAAAAAAATAAAAAATATGAAATGTGAAAAAAAGAATTAAAACCTACTTAAAAAGTAAATATTTTTAAATAAATGCTACTTAAGTGCTCTAAATGACCTCCAATTTATAAATTCAAAATACCATTGGCTTTTTTGGACAACTTCTACATAAAAATGACTCCAAAATTATCAAATTTGAACTTTGTATGTTCTCAAAGAGAACTTTTAAACTTAGATATTTCAAATTTTTGAACAAAATTGTTGTTGTTATGATGATGATGATTATTATTATTATTATTATTATTATTATTATTTTGTTTGTATGTCTTTGTAAAAACTCTTATGATTATGCACTTTTGTCTCTAACCACACTTAGCTCTTATAATTGTAATATTATCCTATTTCTATAAATTATTATGTGTTATTATATATTGCAAAGCACTGTAGTGAGATGCCACTACAAATATTATAAGCCATTGCTTCACACTTGCCTAAAATTTGAGCTCAATTTTTATTTTTATTTTTATTTTTATTTTTTTTGATAAATTGATTTTGTCTAATTTTTGACTATTAATGAAGCTCAAGTTCCATCCTTATGAGATAGTCTACACCCACAAGCTTCCACAATTCTAAATTAAAGATACAAAATTAACTCACAATATGAGTAGACTTTCCTCAAGACTATTAAAATAGAGCTCATCACAAGCTTTCTATCTATTTCAACAAAATCCTTATATATACAACTTCTTGATTTTTTAGAGAAACCACTCAAACCAAAACAATCTTTGTTATTTGCTCCAACAATGCCACAAGAGTACATGCAAGAACCTATTGTTGCTGTAATCTATCAAAAAAACAAAACTAAGAGTAACAAGAAATAAGAACAACCTTCTAGCACTACAACATAGCATTAGACCAACTTGGCACATTAATACAAAACCACAATGCTAAAAAATTGTATTACTCTGTAACCATCATCAATAGCCTCTATTGCACTAAGTGAGTATTGCAACCAATTTCAATGCCACACTCTCATATAACATATCAAAATCCTCTTGTATTACATCATTTTAATGTTTCCACGATCATGATCGTCTAATGTAGACAAATTTTTGTGACTTGCACTTCAGAGTTCCAACCACCTATTGTATATTGTTTACATAGCAACTTATCAAAAATCCAAAAAAATAATATCCTAATAACATAATAAAATCCAAAAAATAATATCCTAAAAAATTAAAGAAAGGATTTTTTTTTCTATTTCATTTCAATCTTCTACACCATAAAATTGAAGAAGAGAGAACATTCTTAAGAAATGAAAGATAGAAAATCTAAACACCACTAAGTTAAGATATTATTTACACCACAAAAAGAGAATCTAAGTATACAAGTGTATATAGAAAAAAGTCTAAAAAATTTATTCAAAGGCTAATTATCATAACTAAGCAAAAAATATTGTATCAAAGGCTTTTTCTCTCTCAAAACCACTCATATAACTTGACTTGACAAGAATGTCAACTTAAGGGAATTTCTCCAACTAGGCCTTCAAACCCTAGTTGATGATAATAAGGTCAACTAATAAAAAAATGTTAAGTAGATGAAAATCCAATAAACTAAATTAGATTACATATATCTAATTGGATTTGGCACATAATGCCATATCATATGACATTCTTATTCTTGACATTTAAAATATTATTATTATTATTATTATTATTGTGTTTGGACCAACTTTGTCTAAATTATAAAAATAGTATTGCTATTGCCATCACAATATTTGTTAATGCCACCACAATTCATTTTTATCAAATTTTTAATCAATTTTTATAAAAAATAATTTTACTTTCTATATCATTAATATACATTAGAAATATTTATAAAATTTTTAATTAGAATAAAAAAAACTAAAAAAATATATCAAGCATGTAACAAGTTGTTGTAGCAATAGCAAAAATTGTGGTGGCATGAGCAATATCTTCTAAATATCCTAAAAGATATGATAATTTTTTAATATTTTATTTATAATAGAATTTTTTTTCTCATAGTGTTGTTTTGTGTGGATTATATGTCTTGACTTATATCCTTATATTGTATTTTTTTATTTTTTATTTTTTATTTTGATAAAAATTTCTCATCATGCTTATTAGTGGTAGTCATAGGATACTATTTTTTTCATAATGTAATATGGTGTATGTGTACAAAGTTACTAGAAATAATTATAATAAATTAAAAAAATATCTTAGAGGGTATAGTATCACCAAAATCTTGACCTAACCACCTTTGATCTATAGTCCTTCTTTTAGAATTACACAACATATTCAAGTAATAGTGGAAGGAATTTTGGAATCTGAGAATCAAAAAACATAGAAGTTTTCAAATTGTTGTGGTACTAGCCATGACAACAATGAACCTGATTTTGGGGCAAATTTTCACATAGTAGATATTAAAAAAGTGATTGACATTGTAACTCACATTCATAGAACAATCTCTTTTTTGAATAGATAACAAGAATGTAGAAGGCAATTCATGAGCATTCATGTATGATGTAACAAAAGTAATTTAATAAATTATTTTAAAAACATATCAATGTATGCAATTCTCATGTTCTATATTGCAAATGACAAGCTTGACCTATATCCAAAAAGTTTTGCTTTTGTAGTGAGCAAGAAGCTATAACACAATTAATCATGAATGATTAGAGGCACATTAGGGTCACATACTTATTTTCTTTTATTTCAATGAAATAGTGTTTATATTATCACGTAGTTTATGGAAATAATCATAGAATGTATTATAATAAAATTATTTTTATCATGGTTAAGTAATTCGACAGATGTTACTGCGTCGTAAATAGTATTCTTACAGAGGGTTTGCTATTAATTCATTCTCGTTAGTAAAAAGCTAAGTCAATACATTGCGAATTTTGGCGTCTTGGAAATGCCAATTACCGACACGACAGGGACCGCACGAACCTTGCACCGCTTGTGCCGCAGAAGGATTTTCCAATCAGTGCATTAGCATGTACTAAATAATCGCATTCTACCTGTGTGAGTATATAAATACAAAATGTTGGACAACGTGTGTACAAAGTACAATTTTTTTCTGTTTTTGCTGTACTCTAATGTCCACCAGTCGCCGGATCCATGATTTTGATGCCCCACGGCACATCCTCGCAGTGTTGAATGTAAGGGAGCATCTTACCTGGATCGGTAGTCCAACCTCTGTTCTCACAATCCATTTGCGGAGTGTTATGGAAACAAGGATCGATTGATATACCACGGTTGCAAATACCATAGTTTTTGATGTACTCCGGGACCGTGTCGGTGGTGTCGAACTTGGTGAGGATCCAAGGGTTCACTCCGGAGATGCCTTGCGCGACGTACCCGAATGTGGACCACGACGTTGTGACAAGAGTGTCACTGAACGACAAAAGGTACATGTCGGCCAAGGCCTTCATGTCGTGGCTCAGAAAATTTAAGAACTGTACCTCATCATGGCTTGCGGTGTACACGCCCACTTGTTGGCCATCTGTGGTGGGATGATTGAGGTACAACTCTCGGATCCTATTGTAAAAAACTACACGAAGGGATGCAACTAATACAGAGACAGAGTTAGATATTTGGTTGCCGACTGCTGAGTTGTTGGTGTTCAACGCCACGTCCGGCAGCAATTTTTTTTCTTGCGCACATTTCAGAACCTATTCGGAAACAGTGTCACGAGTGAATATTTTTGGGTCGTCATGCTACAAAATCTAAGATTTTCATGAACAGTGTGCACAGACTTAGATGGGATATCTAAGTCCTGTTCCGTCATCAGGAATCAAGATGACCGAACTTCGATCAAATTACAAGAGTCGTGAGAGCGGCACTTACCAAGTCTGGGAACACTTCAAGCAACGCGGGATCGTCGCTGAGGACACGGATTTGCAACCCTACTTTATGCTGTGAGTTGGCCAAATGTGTCTCATAAAAGCTCGAGATTAAACCCCATACGGCGTCTGATGGGTGCATCAGGTAGCGGACGATATGATGAAACACTGTCTGACGCTCCGGAAACATCTTGTCGAGTTCGTCGTGAAATTCAGGTACCAAATGAAGACCAGGCAGAAAATACTGGTTGGATCTCATGAACAGCCATGGGAAGCTGCTTAGATAGGATGGGCAGTTTGCACAAAAGAATTTAGTGTCATCTTTGTCGGAGCTGTGCATAATGTCGATGTAGGAGTATCCATTGTGAGACGACGTGAAGGTGAAATTTCGTGCCAGAAATCCAAATTTCGACGTAGAGTTGGAGCCCAAGTTATTCATCCACTCGTTCGGAAAAGACTCGGGAAGCAGCCACGATGTGCTTGGAAAGGGTTCGCAAAACAGCTCATCGGTGCCCAAACCACGATCAACGATGAGCACTCTGTTCGTCAGGAGCGCGTATACAAACGCGGACGTTAGGGTCATGATACGGTTCCCAAGGCCGCTGATCGCCATCCACACTATGAAGCGGCATCCTCCAAAATCCTGCTCAGTGGCATTCGTTTGGGGACTAAATTTTTTAGCCTCGTGAGCACACTTGAGGTGACGACGCTCATAATCACGAAGCTTTGAAATAAGGTATGGTGAAGGCTTGAAAGTCGACGGTTTCCGAAGCTGGTATTCTCGCGATCTACTAATGCACCGACTGTCCTCGAAAAGCTCGGGTGAAAGTAATAAACCTCCCAAAGTATTGTCTGCCTCCCCCTGCGCTACAAATTCTTCAGTTAAACCTCCTAATGTTTTATCTGCCTCCCTCGGTGGTACCAAGTCTTCGGTTAGACCTCCAACTGCCTCATTTGTCTGAGGTTGGATATTGTCAACTTCGTCTGCAGTTATTCCTGGAAGTGAGAAAATAATTGCAACCATCAGTTCTCTGTGATTTGCTCAAATTGCCATCGTGAAGACAATTTCGCAAACGAATAACTTCCTTGGGGGGGAAGATCTCATGTTCGACACCTCGGATGCACATGTACATAACTACCACTGTAGCCCGACGACATTGCAATCAACTCCACACACAGTAACAGGTAGCTCGGTTGTTGAAATGACGTAATTGTTAACCTTAAGGGTTCAACATGAAAGAAATACTGAACCTCGGCCTCCGTATTAATTGAAGTAAAATTAGTAACGCCATGGCGTTGCACAAATCTGAACGAGGAAAGATGAGTTACAAAGATTAATCAAACCAACGTACCTCGAACGGCAAGTGAAGAGGACACAACCAGCTGTCGAATGGAGAGAGTGGACGTTAACGAGACCAGATGCAGGACTAAAAGTCCCCAGAATACTACCAATAGTACTTGCAGCATTGTTTTTCCAAAACAGGCACTTGGAATTTCTGAATCCTTTCCATGAGTTTTGTTCCGTGCAGTTACCAAATCGGATTCACCTCGCCGAATCCACCTTGGAAACATGTTTAGGCTTTGAGAGTGATTAGGTTAATGGACGTGTTATTATGCCTCGCCTATCATGCTTCGGTGGCACCAATATGACACTCCCCTATTTGAGAGATTTGTATTTCAAGTAAATTTCAGATTGTAGCTTCTCTTCATCACGATTCAGAAGTTAATGAAATTCTCTAGCTCATGGACTCGAAAGCAACTCTTAGCACCGAAGACCTCCAGTTTCTCACGACCTGCACAAAAAGTTGATGAAATTCTCCAATAAATTATAGCATGAAATGCATGAAGATCACTTCTTTAAGATATTCGCAGTAACGTTGCAGATGACAATAGCGTCAGCTAGTTGAAGAACAGACAGTAAATTATGAAGAGATAGGACGAGTACTGCAAAAAGACGAAATCCAACCTTCGGAGACAGAACGTCATGACCTAGAAGATTGATCCACAACAATGAGTTACAAACTCGTCGTTGTGAACGAATCCTGCAGAAAGATGCTGACGTTCTCAGTGGGAGCTCTGATGGTTTACAAAGAGACACGAGTCAATCAATGCAAGATATAGCGCAATGCGACTCCAAATGCCTCCGTATCTTTGTTTTGATCAAGATGTGTTCTGAGCAACATCCAAAACCTGGAAGGAAACGGAAATACCATGACGTCCGGTACAGGATCGACCTAAGAAGGTGTTGGTATATTCGACATCTTCATTTCTAGGAAAGTTTAACGTTGACGTTGCACTAATTTCAGAAACGAATGGTCATGTCTTCCAAGCAATGGATCTTGTCATGCGGATTCAGCTGGATTCAGTAGGATCTTGTGTGTAGCACTACTGGGATAAGACATTAATCTCCTCTTGCAAAAACCCAGCATTAAAAGATTTTCATGCTCTTTATCGAATTGACTACACAGCACGCTGAGGAAGCCACGAGTAGGAGCCTCCTGGGAAAAGCAGGAAACGTGATTCCATGTGAAATAGGATGCAATTTTGTGGTTCCGACCATTGGGTTCGTAACAGTCATCCTAGGCTCGGGCAACGCTCACAACAGCTGAGGCGCAAAAATACGCAACCTATCGTCTCCCAGGAGCTAAAAAAAACCGCAACTCTCAACCTGAGACTATCTTCCCGCACAGACATCAAGAAACGCACCTCCACACAAGCAGCACCGACGGAAGCTGCAGTTCACAAGTCCCTGTTACAATCCACTCACTAACGATTGAGCTTCCCATGCTGCGATACGAACGTTCAACTGACGTTTTCGAATAGCAGACAACTCATCCCACGTTCAATTCGCGGCCAAATTTCTCTCCAGCATGAAAACCTCTCCACGCCCCCCGGCGGCTCTCCATAGTTCAAACTGGACCATCACAAGCTTTCCATCCTTAAATTCTCAAGTATCCTCCTACACGATCCAGACTCTTGGAAAGAAACCCCAATTTCGACATGTAAAGTTTGCGGATTACCAAACAGCCGAGTGACGTGAAAGCCAAGACGAATGACGTGATGATGGCGTTGGGAATAATGAGATCATGCACAACAAAGTGACTACGACTACTCCCCGATAGACCGTTACTGCACACTCCTCCTCAGATTGATGAGTCCGAGGATCCACCTGCATTTCGCAATTGGCCAGATGTGCTGATGTAAACATTTGCGTCGGAGGTGATCAACCGAATGCACTTTCCCCATTAAAACTCACTGTGCTTGGCCAGGACATCCCCTGCAGTATTGTCTCGCACGGTGGCCCCGCTGTGGCGGATGAAGCTGTGCATAACGGATGGATGATCTTTCATCCACCCAACAGCGATGGGACACTTGGGGGATTTTCTAATGCTGCCCGATGTGGGTAAGACACTATGTGACGGTATTGTTGTCTCGGTTCTGTTTTGTTTTTTGTTGGGAATGTTTAGAAAGACACAAGAGTAGTAGTAAGTAATACATACACACAAAAGTAATAGTAAGTAATACTCACAAGAGGGTTTCTAAGGAGAGAGAGCTTCACACATAAAAATCACTTGATCTGGTTGTGTCTCATATACAAGAGGAGAAGGGGAGAGGATAAATAGTTCTTCTCCACTACATTCCAAATACTGTAGTTATAATGCTCTCAACACTTTTGAAGTTGTTTTTTTTTCATGTTGACCTTAAAGCTTGGTTGATCATTCTTCATACTTAAAAGAAAATATATATATATATATATATATATATGATTTCGAGATTTTACAATAATGTGAAAGGGTTCAGATAAGCATTACAATACAAAATACATGCTTTAAGGCATATTTACGCATTGATGTCGTTCAAAAATTAATTGATTACTGCGGAGGTGCTAAACAAAGCATCGTGATCACTAAAAACAGATGGCTTAGCTGTACAATGACGTCACCTGAAGCAACATGTCGAAAATCTAACCCCCTCGTGGAGAACAGCCAACCCGGTAATTTGGCGAGTTCAGTCCAATTGATCCCTCGCAACCTTTTTATGGAATGTTCGTCTGACTAATATCGGAGCATGGGTTGCTTGTGCTTCCAAGTTGATGCAATTAATTGTACGGCGCTGAACGGGAGTGCAATTTGCGGAAAGCGGTGGGACTTTCTTGACAAGTGGGGAGGGGGATCGGCAACGGTGGAGGAGGATACAGAGCCGGCGACGCCGGAGCCTGTCCAGCTTGTTACACCGGATTATTACAGTTGGCTACCGGATTAAGCAAATCGGTTAAGTGGGTGTTCATTGCGATCCCGATTATGATTGATCCTGGCATCATGGCGATTGCGAGGAGTAGGTGTGATTCGGGGACTGGAGTTCCCTCTCTCCGAGGAAAGTAGTGAATGGAGCTTCCGTTCTTTCTTTCTGTCTGTATGCGTTGCAAACAGTAACAGTAATCATCATTTAGCTTGATAACTGGTTTCTTGCATAATTTATAAAATCTTCATCCAATAGAAATATTTTTTTTAACCATCATTGGATTATTAAATCGACATAAGTATTTTCTAAATTTACCCACCTATTTTAATCATCATTAAAAAATTCTCCATTTCTGAACTACTGAATTTGTATTGGTTGGAAATCCAATAAAAAAAAGGTTGGATTTGCATCTATTGATGGATGGATTGGTTTAGTATGTCAATTTAACAATTCCCTTTATATATATATATATAGAGCGAGAGAGAGAGAGAGAGAGAGATTGCTTGAGGAGACAAGTGGTGGCTCTCATTCACTGTATGCACCCTTCTTGATTTTCATCAAAAAACTTGATATTGTTTGGAGTTTGAAAAGAAGCAAAAGCTTGACAAAATTCAAGCGAAGTTCATAGGAAGTTCGTAAGGAGTTCATAAGGTTCAATTTTTTTTGCGATTTTGTGATTGAATGTCATTGAAGGTGAAGTTCAATAATTCAGAGAGAAGGGGGCAATCAAACACCAGCAAGGCTAGGCGCTAGCTGGAGAAGCAATGAGATTTTTCCAAATGTACATCTAACCATGATCTCTGATTGTGCCAATGAGAAGACAAATAGCAATGAGGCCCTGCCTAATGTACAAACTATTGTATGCAACATTGTTTCTAACTCAATGATATTGGAAATTGGTTGAGTGTATTAGATGATTACTTATTTTTGATATTACATTTGGGTGTAAGATAAAGAAAATGTACTAGAAACTACTTTTTTTGCATATTATTCATAACAACACCATAAGTTTACATATCCTACTTTTTAACTGGAAGTTTTGTTATATAATTTATTTTATTTTATTTATATTGTATTATGTTTGTATTTAAAAAATATTCTTTGGTTTACAAACATATCTTTTAAAAATAGCTTCATTTGAGTCATGTTTTCTATGATAACAACATAGATTCATCTAGTATATATTAAGTTTGCTCAAAAAAATAAGTAGTGGCTCTCTTTCACCACATGCACTCTTCTTTGTTTCATCGCTCAAATAGTGGTTCTCATTTATCACATGGATTGGTCTTTATTTTCATCAAAAAAGTTTACGTTCTCTAGAGTTCATAACCCATGTTCATTAAGTAGAGGTTTTTATTTTGGCCTTGATCAAGATTTGGATGGTTTTTTACATTCATAGATGTATTTTTACTTAATACATTAACTTTAAATTTTGCAATAATTCACACAATGGATTCCAATTCATTAGTTTTTGATTTTCATTGGATTTCAACACTGTGATTAACTATGCTGTAATCACCTCTATTAAGATCAATATTTTAGTTGTGTTACGAACATACATATTTATTCTAATATATACCTATATGATTAAGTAGAAGTATATAAGAGTAGATTTATTTCATAGTGTTTTCTAGAGAAGCTTTCTAGAAGCTTTTTAGAAGCTTTATAGATGCTACTTTGACTTTACATATGTTTGTAGTTGATTAGTAGGTTAGAAACTTAATCAACAAGTTAACCACGTGTTGATAGCCTACAGAACAAGCTAACTATGTAGTGCATACATAAAAATCTTATCTTACTAGTTAAGATACATGTCTTGCAAAGTCAACATGTTTTGGAGGTCCTATAGGACATTGCTACATAGCTCCTAGTTAAGAGTATATATGGAGACAAGAATGAAGCCTTCTTCACTCTTGTCAATACCTTTCTAGTCCTTAGTCTTATTTTCAAGATTTTCTAATATTTTTGTATTTGGCAATAGTCGTTCTAGTTTAAAATTATATCATCTTTGAATTATTATCTAGTCTTTTCAAGTGACACAAGAATATCTTAATCTTTTAGTTTTTCAAGATTCATATCCTTTACAATTTAATAAGAGTGCTAGTTCATTGTTTTTGCCTTGTTTTAGAAGTAAGTCGATTATCCTACTTGTATTGTTGTATTTTGAAGGTTGCAAATTATTCACCTTTAAACAAACTATTTTTTTTTTTAATACTTATATTTTTCTTAAAGAAAGTAGATTTATCTTTCTTTGTAGAAATTTTCATTCGATGTTAGAAGTTGTAGATTACCTTCTTCTAATTTGACTTGTAGATTTGTGAAGTTGTTTGAAATAGAAGAAAAAATCATAGATGCTATACTTTACAGAAGTGAGAATAGATTTGTAACTATTGTTAATCTTATTGAAGAAATAGAACTTTGAAGTCACAATACATAGCATCAACAAGGTTGTACACAAAGAGAGTATGGAATAAGATATCTCTCACTTCCAACACCTAATACTTGTAGGTTGTGGTTGCTACTCTATAAGACAACTTCCACTCATTGACTTTTATACACATGATCCTTGGTCTTAGGATCCTTTGGTATCTAACGTATCTTGAGGGTATCCTATGGTCCTTGGATCCTTTGGCATCTTATTAACTACAAAGGTATCTTATGCCAAATACTAATTACTCTTACGTAGTCTTTGAATATTCCTTAGTTCATACTTTATTCTCTTGACTTTGACTCTTGGTCCTTGACCTCATCCTATATCCATAGGATGCCATTTTTATACATCAAGAGTCAACTCTTTGACCATTAGTAATTTATCTAAGGTAATATCCTCTACAAGGCAACTTATTCTTCTTTCTCTTTTACTTCAACACTTCCACTTTGCTATTGGTCAAAAGACTTTCAATCCTAATGTCTTTGTCAGCATGTGGTGTCTATCCTTTACTAATGCCTTTGTCAACAAATCAACAGGCATGTCTTCCATTGCACAATACTTCATATCAATCACTCCTATTTCAATCTTCTCTCTTATGAAGTGATATTGAATGTCAATGTGCTTGGTCCTTAAATAATGCTTTGGATTCTTTGTAAATGCAAGACATCTTTGGTTGTCACATTTCATTGGAATTGCTTCTATTTGTACTAATCCAATGTCATCCAAAAATTGTCTTAGCCATATTGCCTCCATTGTATTATGACTTGTTGTTATGTATTCCGCCTCCATTCTTAACCTTACAATTTTTGGTTGTCTTTTGTAATTCGATGAAATTGCTCCCATTCCAAAAAAGAATACATATCTCATTGTTGATCTTCTATCATTTGTATCTCTAGTCCAATCCGCATTACAATAATCATGCATAGTAATGTTATCACCTCCAAGATATAATTTGAAGTTCAAAGTATCTTTTAAGTACCTCATGATCATTTTGATGGTTGCCCAATAGATTGCTTTAGCCTTTGACATGTATTGACTCACAACACCCACCGCATGTGCAAGATCCACCCTTGTGCCAACCATTGCATATATTAATGAGCCCACTAGTGCCTTGTATGGAACACCTTGCATTTGTCCTTTAACTTCAACAAACTCTTTTTTCGTGAACTTTATCAACTTCAAATTGGCCTCCAAAGGTGTTCCAATAGGCTTACTTTCCTCCATGTTGAATTGTTTCAACACCTCTTCAATGTACTTATTTTGGCTCATTGTAATGGTCTTCTTAGCACAATCTCTTATAAACTCCACTCCTAAATAATAGTAAAGCTCTTCCAAATCACC